GACATGGAAGATTAGGTTTAAGATCCACAGTCAACTGTACTGCAGTAAGTGAATTATTTTGATCTCTTGTACCCAATACAGCTCTCGAGTCCCCAATATATCCAATTACAAGATCCTGACCCTACAAAAAATAATCAAGACATCCTTAAGTACATAAACGCGCTTATCACATTATCCCATCAGCATCAGTGCTGTACTTAATGTTACCTGCTTCACCAGAGTCACTGCCGTTGTCCCACTGCAGAAGCAATCAATATTTGCATAAATTCTCAGTTCTCTGTCCATAACCTTATAAGCCTTTAGTAAAGATTCCTTCAATATCTGAAAAATCTCGGGATGCTTTCCTGTTTCTCCGAAGTCTATAGAAGCTCTAGCTTCCTCGCCAGCCGATAAGAAGGAAATATCTTCCGAGCACATACTACCCTTAGTATTCAAACTGAGACCCCGAAGAACCTCATCACTCTTTATATTAACTTCCCAATTTGCACTCAGCTTCAGAGGAAGAGAATCTCTAACACGCTTAGCAACCATATGACCGTAAGGGCCGTGACCATCAAAAACACCACAGAAGACCGTGTCCGTTCTTGAACCAAAATTCTGGATATTAAATTTGACAAACTATAAGTAAACAGAAATCTCTTGAAAGCAACTTGAGACAGAATAAAAATAAACTGATTGATAGAGTACATACTCGATGTTTATTTGATAAAATTATCACCAAGTGTCGTTGACGTATATAAAGTTCAGAATATGCATTTAAAGAAGAAACTGTTTGCATCTAATTAAAAGAAAAATCAATTTCTTAGGCTCTAGAAGGCTTGACCAAGAAACAGAGGACACCAAGTGGTAATCTAATTAGACTCCCAACAAATACTTTTTTTTTTCTTTTCCCTCTAAATCTTCCTCTCCAGAAAACAATCATTTTTAAATCAGGTTATGCAAACCTAACTTCAAATATACGAGTCTAAAAGGTATATTTCAAATTTTCAATATAAAGTGGCAAAGGCAAAAGCACATTGAGGATATTTTGTGTCAATCATCAAATAATTACTAAGGAAAGGTGGGATATGACTAAAAATAAAAAGAATAGCTTGCATTTTGACATAATGCATAGAATAGAGACGAAATTTCAAATTAAATTTAGATGATAAATACATTTGTTAACATTGTCTATGGCAAACTGTAATATCAAACGTTAAGACATGGGTATAAATATATAAGACAAGAATAAGGACTCATTTCCTGGGCTTAAATTATATGAAGGTGGGCAACAATTAATGTTGATCAAACGGATACCAAAGCTCCCTAAGAGAAATAATTACGAATAAACAATTTTTTTATCAATAAAAAAGCACGGATCAAAGAAGCAACAAAAGAACTTAAAAAATAAACTGACTCTTATACAGAAAATAAATAAAATGCATCACATTACTTAGTAATGATCCTAGAAAAAAAAAACTACAAATAAATCAATACTTTGAAATTCACAAGATGTGAAGAATCTCAAAAAATAAAAAAATAATCAACACACAACAAATGGGTTAATTCCCTAAATGGTGACCGAACTTTTCTTAAAGTTCCAACGGGATAACTGAACTTAAAAACTATCACCGTTAGTCACGGAAGGATTTGACGACGTTGATCTTGAGTATATAGGTAGATGACCTTTTTTATTCACGAATCGTTCAATGCATATTTTGTTGTTTTTTTAATGACGGATGAATGTGTGGTTTTATCCAAATGTAGAGCTTTTCGAAATCTGAATTTCACAAACTTTATAGCTAGGTTATTATAGTATCTAACTAATTATAACATGATTTATGTAAAAATCTGATTTATAGTTTTCAAATGCGTGCCACATAAGTCATCAAGTCCTTCCAATTTTGCAAACATCATTTAAGTAGCGATGGATGAGATACTAATTTTCAAAGTTAAGTGACTAATGAGACAGTTTTTAAGTTTAGTGATCTCGTGGGAACTTTAAGAAAAGTTCGGTGACCATTCAAGGAATTAACCTCACAACAAATAGTTTTATTCAATTCGCCACCTAACTACTGTGCAGGCTGCAGAAAGCAAAACCAACGCAATACTTTAAAATCCATGAAACATGAATAAAATCATTGAAACGACTAATATTAATCTAATATACTAAAATCAATTTAACTTTTTTCCCGATTCCTCATTTTATTCAAACTGATCATATTGAGATAAAGGGGGAGGAGATAACCTCCCAAACAATCATGGCATCTTGATTGATTCCTTTCTTGCCTTGTTGGGTAAAGAGTGAGGCAATTTCACTTGATCCATTCAAGAACATACGCCCGGGTGTCCTATGTAGCAGTTCCTCCCTCTTATAGTCATAGGACGAATTTCGAGACCCAAGCCTCTTCTTCGAGCCCTTTCTCTTCCTTAACCCCACAGGAGAACCGGGTTGGGGGTTCCTGCTATCCCCGGACAAGCAGGACCCCATTCTTAGGGCCCTGATTATATTCAGTATGCACTCCAGATCAGCAACACAGTCACAACTCCGATTTTCCGTGTTTGGATCCGTAACAGAAATCACTATGAAAAATCCTTGCAAGATCTTTAGATTCACACACTCAAATTCTCCACTCAATCTAGATGAATTATCACTTCACCTAGAGTTTAAATTCGAACACGATAAATCACACGATAAATCACATCATATTCCCTCTAGGAAGCTGAATATTAAAAGCACAAAACTTTCAACAACCCCATTAAGTTCACCACTAAATCTTCTTCTTTGTCCATAAAATTCGTCCTCTTTAATTGGGAAAATCACCTGCTTACACACTGATAATACAACAATAAGCTTCCGACCCAAAAAAGAGAGAGAGAATTTATGAATACCCTAATCCTTAAATGGCCCTAAACACAATAAAATATTCACACAGAAAGTATAAACTTACCCTCTTCCTCTTTTATTTTCTTTTTACAATAGTAATACTATAATGTAATGAAAAAAGCTAAAAAGGGTAGAACTTCAATATCCATTATAAATGTAAACGACACTTCAAATGCTCGAAAACCAACAAATTCAAGTAGATCAATCAGAGTTCAAGATTATACAAGAATTCCAAAAAAATCCCTTGAATTCCTGCCCAGATAAGCCAGAATTTTCAATGAATTCCAAGAAACGAACTAAACGACAAAACTTAAACATGAAAAACAACATATCAAACCAATAAAAGGCATTTATCCATTGACACGGTTTTCCAGAATCAATAGAAAAAATAAACTCTGGAGTCAAAAAATACTGCAACAAATGGTCAAGATCGAAGGAGAGAAAAGAGGGCCTTTGAAACAGAAACTGAATCGAGAGAGAGAGAGAGAGAGAGATGAGATTCGCCAAAAAAGCCGCCGATAAGACTTTTTTACAACACAGAAAAAATTACTAGGGAGTAGGGAGAGAAAAGGCCCGGTCAGTGTGTGTGAGAGAAACATCCTACACACCCATATGTATAAAATTACTGGATTTTTATATGCATTAATTTGAAATAAATAAAATCATAAAGTGTACCGACATTATGAAAGGGTGTAATTAATAGCTGTAATGGAAGAGAAGAAATGGAAAGACAATCGATCGAATATAATTGGGATGTGGGCTTTTCACTATAAATTCGTAGTAACAAAAAATGAAATATTTATAGAAGTCTACTTTTCTCAAGATCTTGATAATGACAAGTTTTATTTTTTAATTATATTATTGTATCTCTGTCTTATTCTACGTGACTTTCTCTAAACACTCTTGAGATCTTTGTAGACTATTAGAAAGGATATTAGGCCCAATTCAATCCAACAAAATCGAGTTGTTAGGAGAAAATTGTCATCACCTTATTAATTGATTAGTGTAAATATCACCATCCAATATGGGATTCTAATACCCCCTCACGCACAGCATGGATCATGCCAAATAACTGTGAACAAATCGATATTGGGTGTACATAATATTACAAAACTGAGACTGCTCTGATACCATATTAAAAAGGATATTTGGCATCACTCAACCCAACAAAACCAGCTTATTAAGAGATGATTGTTCTCACCTTGTTAAGTAGATCGTGTAAATATCAACAACAAATAGGTGATTCTAATATAAACGAGTAAATTGAATATTGTTGGAGTAACACGATCGAATTTACATAGAGATTACATTCGCCTAATACTATCTTTTTAACATATAGGCTAGGCCTCTGACAACTCGTGTTCAGTCGTGCTTTGTTGGACATTCTTTTCCTTTTCTCATGCGACAAATGTGAGTTGTACCACGTGGTTTGCATGTCTCTACTGATGTGACTTTTTCGAATGTAAAATTTTGAATTTTTTTGAAAATTTCCTAATAAAATGATGAAAATTATATTGAGAAATTTATGTAGTAAAAATAATAAATGTTAATAAAATAATTGAATTTTTTTAAAAAAAAATGTTAGTTAGATGTCATTTAAAGGCTCACGTTTAACGTATTTTTAACTATTTTCGATATATGTTTGAACTAGTCGATATGTCCATAATATAGTTCTTGAAATAAGTTTCGAAATTATATAAGCAATTTGTAGATTCGATTAGCGTATGATCGTCGGAGAATTATTAAAATTAGTATATTTCGAAATTCAAATTTATTTTGATTTTGCCCCTATTTGGTAGAGATTAAAATCAAATTTTTAGTAAATTTTGATAAAAATTAAACAGTTATGGATTTCATAAAATATGTTATTAAAATTAATTGTTAACTCTGATTTAGATTAAAATTTAAATTTTANCAAGAGAAAAAGAGAAAAATTAAAATTTATTGTGAATTTGCCCCTATTTGATGGAGATTAAAATCAAATTTTTAGTAAATTTTGATAGAAGTTAAATAGTTATGGATTCCATGAAATATGTTATTAAAATTAATTGTTAACTCTGATTTAGATTAAAATTTAAATTTTAATCGATATCAAACGTGATTTTATAAAAAAGAAAAATCTCAAAATTTGGGGGCACGGACCCCGGGGTCCGCCGTCACCTACTATTACCCAATTGTAGCGGTATGCACCATAGGGGTCCAACTGTAGAGATAGAAAGAACATTGTTATTCATGTGTGAGTCTAATTAAGAAATAATAATCCACACACATTTTAATACCTTTATGCCTTCTCTAAATTTGAAACTCTAAGTAAGTCCGTTGCAATTTATATATTTCCTCGAAATTCCACCACCACCATAAACAACGTGATTTTTCACTTTCAAGAAAATTCCGTCGAATTTTACAAATCTTCTTTAGGACATGTCTGGACCCAATTTTCTTCCTGATTATAATTCATTTTTTTACAGTTGCACAATGCAACGGTCCAAAAATCAAAGAAAGCTGCAGCATTTTCTCTCACATGTGTTTTGCCAAAACGGACCAAAAATCAATTTTTCATTTTCACAATTTGCACCAGACAACCACTTAATCTTTCTATTTTGCTTATCTGTTCGCATCTAATTCATTACATACTGCCTCAATTGTAACTCATTATCTCATCTATATTTCCTTAGACGCTCAAATGTGTAATGTTATATATCTATTAAGAGTAATATTTGCCTAATATAAATTCTTTAGCATATAATCTATGTTTGATTCAACTTGTATTAAGTCGTATTTTCTCGTGTTAAACAGCATAAATATTTCGTTGTATTTTTTTTAGTTGAGACATGAGAGCCCCTATCGTTGGACCTACTATGACCTAGAGGAATGCAACCCGCATAGCGGTACAAAACTAGCATCGGTCCAGCTATAGAGTTAGGCTTGATCATTGATTTTCACGTGAAAAACCAAACACATTTTGATATTTTTAACAGGAATCAAACATCTCGAACTAGAATACGAGGTTCCAAAAAAAAAAAAAAAATCAAGAATTGTGAGTACTTGACACTAAAATCGAATTTGTCCTTTTAAAAAAAATAAAATTTATTCACCTTAACTGAATAACAATATGGAAAGCAACGGAAATGATAGGATAAAAAGAAAAGCCGACAATGTTGATTGTTGTGTTGTTTTCGTAGGGAATGAATTTACTTTACTTTTAGCATTTGTAAAATCTTTTATTTCTTTATTGGTGGTTTCTAGTTTTTTGTTTGTTCTTTAGTTATGCAATTTGATGTTTATATTTTGCTCCATATTGAATGGTATTTGGTGACATATTCTGCTAGATTTTGGATATTATTGTACTAGATATTCAATACTATTTAGTGATACATTTGCATTAAATTAAGAAAGTGTTGAAATTATTTGGTGGCATATTTTATTTCTTCTGTTCCTGCTAGGTATCGTATAGATAATTTATATAGTTAGCTCATGATATTTTCAGAAAATGTTATGAATAGAATCGAACCCAAACGAAAATGACTGTTCAAGTTCCCGTAATTACGTGGATCCAAATGATTTCGTCTACAAAATGCTTGAAATGTAACTGGTGGTTCCAAATATTGAAATACCCAAATTGACTTACCCGACTCTCAAGTCTACGTGTAAGCTTACTCGAACTTGAAACTCTAAGTAAACCCACTATAGTTTATGTACTTTCTCGAAATTCCGCACCGTAAGATTGTGGAAGATATGAAATTTATCCACGTTTTTAAAAAATCAATTAAATGTCACAAATCTTCTCCGATCTTTCTCTCCGCGTCATATTCATTACATGCCACCTCAATTGTGACCATAGTTATAAAACTCAACCCGGCCCGGCCCAGCTGAAAAATCGGTGACCCGGGCTTTTGTCCGGGTTGGGTAGATTAATTTAATAGGAATGCACATGAATCAGTCAAAAACCGGTTTTGACCAAGTTAATTAGGTCGATTTACCGATTTTCAAAATTATTTTTTAAAATTTTGGGAGTCCTAAGAATTGAACTTGGACATCTAGGTAAAACAAATAGTTTCTCACCATTGGAGTTGTATAGCACTTTAGTGTTTTTTATGTGTAGTAAGTTATATGTATCTAATGAATCATATATATTAAAAATAATAATTTTTTTAAAAACTTAGGTTAAACATTTTACTGTGTTTTATAGACCTAAATAATTAGTGAAAAATAAATTAAAAATAAAAATTTGCCTAAAAAAATTTCATACTTTAATATTTTTTATAGATTTTTATTCAATGACCCATCGGTCCGACCATTGATCCACCGATTCAACCAATAACCCGAGACTCAGTACATTGTCCGAATAGATGTCCGGATCGGGTCTAATAACTATGATTGTGACTCATTATTTCCTCCATATTTCCATGTACGCACTCACTGTGTATTTATGTTATATATCTATGTTGAGTCATGTTCACCCTACAAAAACCTTTTAGCATATATTATAGGTCCGACACAACTTGAGTTGAGTTGTGCTTTGTTGTGTCATGTAAGCATCGTTGGATTTATTAATTTGTCATGTGAGCATGCATATGTAATTAATTATGTATAAGGTTATCCTAAAGTTGAACTCAATTAAAGTGATCTAATAAAAAATTAAATTGTTAGGCTTAGGGCATCTAAATAAAGCGTGAGTCGAATTATATGTGTAGAGACCTAATCCATTATGGATGTATTTGATGAGCCAAATACATATGAAAACTATAAATAAGGTTTATGATTTCCAATTCATACGCAACTTCTCATTTTTTATGTCATCATATCAACAAAATACATGAGAAAGTATATTGAAGAGGAAGATTCAAAATTTACAATCAAGAACAAGGATTGAAAAAATCAAGGATCAAGAAGAATGATTGGATCAATTAAATTGAACAACAAAACAATCAAAATTATGGAGCAAGAAGCAAAAATCAAGACCAAGAACTCAAGAACCAAAATAGCCGATAATCAAGATTCAAAATCCGGAATTATGACCCAGTATTAAAAAATTATTTTCAAAAAATTAAGGTATGTTCCGTATTATTAATTTTCTTGATGATTTGACATGGAAGATCTGGCAATTAAGTAATTAGGTTTTTTAGTTTTTATAAAGTTTAAAATTTCATAAAATTTTAACAAGTGGTATCAGAGCGAACTTCGTGTTAAACCATTAAACCATTAAACCATTTATTGACATACAACACTAACAGCATTTTGTGAAGTCGAATCTTATCAAACAGATCATTCTATCAGATTGATCAGTATGGCTATTAACAAAACGATCGGTAAAACATTAACTTTAATCGGACTGGAAGTCGAAGTAATATGACTGGCTCTCACGGAATATACGTTCCCTGAGGCGTCATCTTTCACCTTGATGCTTGAAGAACCTGAGATCAGCAACAGAATGACAGAGTGAGAGCTCATTTTCGTGAAAAAATGAAATTCGACATGAAGTTAGATAAAGGTTGTTTTGAGATATAGTTACTGTTTACTAGAGCCTGGAACAGAACTCAAGCCAAAACCAGTATAAGTTGAAGTTTGGACGGAGAAAAGCAGACATATAAGGAACCGAATAAACATTAACTATGAATGTAACTGAAGTGAGAGCGACGAAGCGACAAATATGGGACAGACTCTCAAAATATTAAGTCTAGTGAAGGTTCATAACTCACAACATACCAAATTACAGATTTCTACAGAAAGTATTCAACATAACCAATTCAAGAAAAGGAGAATCTAATCATAAAACCAAAAACCAAATTGCAAGTGCAGAAGCAATGCAATAACTAAATATACTCACAGTTGTAGTCTGTCCATCCAATGGTCTGATTTTCGAGGTCATACAGAACAATCTTGTTTGATAGTACAATATCTGCATTTGCAATGAATTACAAAATCTACTAAATTAATATAAGTTTATTCATCAACTAGTCCCTCTAATCTGGGACAATTACAAAATAAGCCTCAACAATTGTCACTTGATAGTTCGAGCATCCACTAATTTATACCTCATAATGTAAAAACTGTTGGGAAATTATTTAATTTCATGTGATGGGTCGACATATGTAATTAACTGTGTATAAATGTTATCTCAAAGTTAAGCTCAAAATTAAAGTGATATAATAAGAAATTAAGTAATTGCGCTTTAAGCATCTAAATAAAGTGTGAGTCGGACTATATGTGTGGAGACCGGATCCATTAGAGTTTGTATTTGACGATGTGCCGAATACATATGGAAATATATAAAGGGTTATGATCACCAATTCAAGTGTGATTTTCTCTTTCTATGTGGCATCCAATCAACACAAGAA